AGATAGATATCGAGAGAGACAGAAAGAGAGAGAGAGAGAGAGAGAGAGAGAGAGAAAGGAAATGGTTTCTGGTGATGCAAAGTTCTGCCTTGGTACAAAGGGAAGACAGTAGGGAGCTCGTTGCCTTTGACTGTGTGGCTTGTTTGGAAGGGGATTAAATGGGTTTGGTGATCTTGCAAAAGGCGCGGTGCAAGTGTCTCTCTACGGTCTTTTCATTGCTCCTCACGTCCACCCGTTGCTTCTGTCCAACGTTGAGGTTTGAAAGCTCAGTGCTCGCACAGCCAGCGTTCAGTCTCTGTGCTCAAGTGTGTCCCTTCTAACCCCGTCACTCTCCCTGGCACTTCCCTCCCTCTCTCCGACCTCCTCACTCGCCTCAATCCACCACCCGGCACCTCCGCTCGACTGGCACCGGCCTCCTGCTCGTCCCTCGCGCCCTCCGCCCCACCATCGGAGATCGCGCTTTCAGCCACTCCGCCCCGAACCTCGGGAACACTCTCCCTCAATCCCTCCGCCTTGCATCCCTCTGTGTGTGTGTGTCTGTGTGCGTGTCTGTGTGTATGTGTGTATATCTGTGTGTGTGTGTGTGTCTGTATGTGTGTGTGTATCTGTGTGTGTGTGTCTGTATGTGTGTGTGTGTCTGTACGTGTGTGTCTGTGTGTATATCTGTGTGTGTGTGTCTGTATGTGTGTGTCTGTGTGTATATCTGTGTGTGTGTGTGTTTGTGTATGTATGTCTGTGTATGTGTGTCTGTGTGTATATCTGTGTTTGTGTGTCTCTATGTGTATGTCTGTGTGTCAGTGTGTATATCTGTGTGTGTGCATCTGTGTGTGTATGTCTGTGTGTGTGCGGGTCTCTGTGCGTGTGTCTATATGTGTACGTCTGTGTGTGTGTCTGTGTGTATATCTGTGTGTGTGTGTGTGTGTGTGTGCGCCTGTCTGTGTGGATGCCCGCGTGTGTCCGCCTGTGTGTACGTGTGCGTCTGCCCGCGTGCACGTGAAAAAAAAAAATTAACCGCTTCTCGAAACAAGGTGAAAGGCGCTATAAAAAAGCAGGTTGTAGGTGTGTGTATCGGACCAACACCATCTACTAAACGTAGCAACAAAGTACACCTGAATCCTTCGAAGCCGCAGCAACACACTGGCGCACCTTTATGAAGCTAATACGCTTTGATTTATTAGATTTCGGCTCGTCTTAAAACTCAAAGAAAAATGGATTTTAACCTGAAAGGTACCTTGATGCATTTGGAAGTAAATAGATAAGTTTGCACAATAAGTGCTTTGTAATGAAAATGCAAATTTAATCGGTGAGATTTGAAGTGCTTCTGCACAGCGCAGTTCATTACGGTTTCTGTTCTGAAATGTAATCATCTTCTCAAACACCGGCTGCGTTCTGGTTCAGTATTTTTTTTATCTGCGGAGGTTTTTGAAGAGGAAAAATAATTCACTGGGGTGGTGGGTGAGGGGTTTTGGGATGGGGTGGGGGTGGGGGGGGGGGTGCGGGAGCAATATAATAAATAACCGCTTCTTGAAATAAGGTGAAAGGCGCTATACAAAATGCAGGTTGTTATTTCAGGGGATTTATTTTTTTTTACGCTTTGGTAGAAAAACGGTGTCTTTATTTTCCTGAAAACCAAAGGGCCGGGTTTTCCCGACTTCCGATAGGAATCGTTGCGTATTCCGGCGCTGTTCGCGCAAAGCCTTTTGTTTAATTCACGGTTTGCCAGCCTGGCGCAATGGAAGCACACTCCCTCTCTCTCTCTCTCTCTCTCTCTTTCTCTCTCTCGCCTCGGAGTCGGAAGGTTGTGGGTTCAATCCCCCCATTTGCCCACTTGGAATCGCGCACTCGAAGCTGACGCTCCAATGCGGGCGCGGAGGGGGTGCGTGTGCGTTGCGCGGTCGGAGACGCAGTCCTTCGGATGAGACGTTAAACCTCACTGTGCGGGTGGAGGTTAAAAATTCCGCACCGCTATTCGAAAAGAGAAGGAAGTTTCTCTCTCTCTCTCTCTCTCTCTCTCTCGCTCTCTCTCTCCCTCTCTCCCTCCCGGTGTCCTGGCTGACAATTCCCCCCCCACCACCCCCAAATAAAATTGGTCTCTCACTCCATGGCTATTTAGCTGCCGTATTTGGCCCTAACATACACAGTCAATCCACCTTACAGTATACCCTACGAGGAGCCTTGAGACGTCTCAACGATGTGATTAAGGCTACATCAAACACCGTGATGGTTATTATCATAATTGCTGCGCATTACACTTTTGCGATTGCGAGAGTCAATAATAATAACAATAATCATAAAAGTCATTAAATTAAATTCGAGGCGGCGCCTTTCACGCCGGGAAGGCTTCTCACAGAGCTTCGCAGAGCAAAGCGGAGGGACTGCGGGTAACTTGGAGGGCAAACACGGCAGGCAATTTGCACACGGTAACGCTTCACTGACTAACAGCCGTGAAATAAATGACCGATTTCTTTTCGCTGGGAGTGGGGGGGGGGGGGGTGGACTGGTTAGTCGACCGAGAGAGAGAGAGAATATGTCTGTACGAGGGAACTGGAGGTAAAATAGTGCAATATATATCACAGAACATCCTCTGGGAACAGAATTAAACTCCCAACAAGATGAGATCTCCGCGGTTTGCAAGAGCCTTGGGCCAAATTGAGCTCAGTGTGGTCTCAGCCCATCTTTATCGATGGGTGAAGATCCATTGAGAAACAAAGGACATGATTTGAAAATAAATTGGCTGGTTCCGAGCGATAGAAATAATACAGCTGCGCGATCCTTTCATCTGACTCTGAGCGGACGAGATGTCTCAAAGCGCTCCACGGGATACACCGTAAAGTGGAGTGACTGTCTCTTTGACTGTCGCAGGAGGAGATACTTCTTTCTATGAACTTGTGTGGGCGGAAGGGCACATTAGGAGGTCGTCGTGCCCGTTAGGACTTAATAACAATAATAATTATTATTATTATCTTCTCCCCGCACGTCCCCCATCGCCCCTCGATCGCTTTTCCCGGGGTAATAATCCCTTACATATAAAAATAATTTCAAAGACGTTTCGAAGAGGTGATAAGGCGCTGTATCAAATGGAAGGATTATTATTATAATAATTATTATTATTATTGCTGTTATTCCCCGTGTCCGGTACGGAATGCGAGGGTGCGGTTTTCTCCCCGCACGGACACTCATTAAAATAATCGTCATTTATTTGCCACATCGTACCTTTCCTTACAGCTAATTGAGCCAGCAAGCGAAACCGTTGCCTTTAAACCTCTCCAGGTCTGCCTTTCCAATCTAGTCTGGAGAGCGATTGAGAATGATTAATCACTAATTAGCTTCATTGAGCGCAATGACCTCGAAGTCTCGAACCCTCCCAGAACCCCCCCCACCCGGTCCTGAGGTTAAATCACTATTTATACTCCGCAATTTTCCATTCACTCCAACGCTTAAGAAAAGTGGTGGAGGTTGAATCCAGTTTTAAGGCTATTAGTTCGAACGTATTCGATAGAGTGATGGAAATTTTCTGCGACGGAAGAGGTCATTCAGCCCATCGGGTCAGAGCCACTGCTTCCTGTTTCTCCAAATCTCTTTTAAATTAAATCCCACTTTTACGATCCCCGCATTTGATGCAGCGCCTCGTCACCTCGTCGAGACGTCTCCAAGCGCTGCACGGAATACACTGCAAACATACTCGATATTTTTTTGTGGGCGATTGGCACACAGCAGTGTCCCACAAGCAGTTGTGAATTAAGTGACCCTCCAAATTTTTTTGGAAGGGATTATTACCCCCGGAAAGCGATCCGCCAAACGACTAACAACCGGGTTCCTGCTTACCGCTAGGTAAACAGAGGCGTGTGGGGTAAGGAAACTTGCCTGAGGTGTCGTCCCACCCGGGAATCGAACCAGGGGGACTCTCGCTTGCGAGAAGAGTGTGCTACGTGACTGCACTTTACAGTATACTTTATGAAGTGTTCTGAGACGTCCTGCCGATGTGAAAGGCACGGTATCAAACGAATCCTTCAGGATTGAGACGTTGAAGAGAGAGGTTAGCTATTTATGCATCAATTAATTAGCAGCTCTTTCAAATTTAGCCTCCCGTCAGCAAAAAGAAACATGAGCAGAGAGACCTGTGGTTTATTATAAGAGTCGAAGGATTTTTTTTGGGTGAGGGGGGGGCGCTTTGATAGAAAAGTGATGCCTTTATTTTCCTGACAACCCAACGACAAGAATTTCCAACTTAATTGCATCCGTTGCAAACTCAAGCTGAGGTGCGTTCTCTCATCTGCTGATCTCTCCCCAGCGCACGTCACATCACTGCTTCGCTCTTCGAACCGTAATACTAATAATAAATAGTTATTTAATGTTATATAGTTGCATCAAAATGCGTTTTTCGCGCAAAGTGGAGTCTTCGAGACTCTCCAAGCGATTCGCAGAGTACGCTGTAAAGCCAGTGTTGAACCCAGGTCCTCTCGCTTGCGAGGCGAGAGCTCCCAGCACTACGCTACACGACGTAATGGGCCCAAGCGAGAGGACCCAGGTTCGGTTCCCGGGTGGGTCAGGGCGAAAAATTGGGCAAGTTTCCTTACTCCACGCGCACACGCACATACGCAGACCTCTGGTTACCCAGCAGCAAGTAGGAACCCGGCTGTTAGTCGATTAGCGGATCGCTTTCTGAGTATAATAGTCACCCCCCCCCCAAAAAAGTACGATCGCGCAATTCACGACTGTTTGCGGGGACGCTACTGGGCGTAATTGGCTGCCACGTTTCGCCCGCAACACACACAGTCAAGTGACTTGACGGTATATCCTGTGAACGCTTTGAGGCGTCTCGAAGACGTGATAAGGCGTATCGAGCGCAAGGGTTATTATTATTATTGTTGTGATTTCATCCTTTCATCCAGTCTCTCTCTGCTGCAGAAGAGAGGGACAGCGGAATCTTAATCTGTCTGCGGAAGAGCTACTTACACCTCTAACCATTTCTCATTCTGACTTCTCCCCTCGACCCACAGACCATTCTGGGACGGTAGATGTTGGGGGGCCCTTAAAGAATTCGATCCGCGGCGACTCAGCAATCATTGGAGGTAAGTGGCAGCCACCAAGCTGTCAGTCCACAGTCATCTCAGCGCCAGTAACCTCACCCCCAAGGCTGGGTAACGCCATTGGTGGCCGTGGCGTCAGCCTCTGCACCCCAAAACTCTGGAACTCTCTCCCTCGATCCCTCTGCCTTGGCCCCCGCCTCGCCCCACCTTCAAATCCCACCTAAAGACCTTCTTTTTTTGATTGCTCTTAGGGTCACCTCGCTCAGTACCTTACCCGTCAAGGCTTTTTGGCTTGCAGGGCAATAGGAGCTGAGTGGGATAATTCCCTGCCCCCCCCCACCCCCAAGGCTGCCGTAGAGATGAAGGGTAATAATAGTACGGGAAGACGTTTCATAATTTCATAAAGGTGTCAGGAAGGGAGCGCACGGAATAGGATCTGCTTCGGAGGTTTCGCAAAGGACAAACTTTTCGCTTCAATTGGGTGGGGGGGGGTGGGGAGAGGGGAAAAAAGATTGGACTTACGTGGAGGGTACAGTGCGATCTATTCGCGACGGAAAATGACGGGTTTGGGATGTTCTGGGGATGACTCAAGTCTTGCGCAGGAATGGACCAACGCACGAAGAAATGAACTTGGGTCTAAACTCGCCCAATTTTCAATCGCGTCAGAGATTTGGGAGTTTCATCAGTTCAGCCTCAGCTCCGAGATCCCAAAAGGATCAAAAGCAAAGGATATTGGACCTGCAATAAGGCCGCTCCCAAACTACATTTTGCAGGCGACCTTACAATAATCCTCGCATTTGATCGTTCGACGCAGCACCTTTCAGGTCGGGAGGACGGCTCAGAGAGCTTCAGCGGATTCCGTTATGAACTGCAATGGCTTTTCCTTTGTTGAGGGCGAACGGACCGGCCAGTTCGCAGCCACAAAGCGAACGACCAAACCCGAGTGGGACCGTGAAAATCGGCCAAATCGGGCTCGCTTCTGAGTCGCTGAGAGAATAGCTGGATTTCGCCCACAAGACACACGGTCACTCCGCTTCGACCGTCCGTCCTGTGAAGCGCTTTGAGGCGTCTCGAAGACGTGATAAGGCGCTGTATCAAATTGCAAGGATTATTGTTACTTTATTTATTTATTACTTTATTCATTTATTTTGTTGTTTACCCCACTCTTTCTCCCTCTCCAACCCTCCGTCAACCCCACAACCCTCCCCCCTTCTCCCCCTCCCTCTCCCTCAACCCCACACCCCTTCCCTTCCCCCTCCATCTCCCTCCCCCCCAGGTGTGATAGCGTTGGTGATCTTCGTGACGCTCTGTGCGTTGGGGGTGATGAGCCGCGTGTTTTACCGACACAAAGGCAGCTCCCGCCCCAACGAGACCAAACCGGGGGAGTGCGCGGAGACCACCGACACCACAGCAAAGGGGAACAGTCATTACCAGGACACAGTGAACGACAGCACCAAGGAATACTTCATCTGAGAGAGAGCGAGAGAGACCCAACTTACCCTTCCCCCCGCGAGCTCTCTCCCTCCTTTCTCTCTCCTCTCCTCCTTTCTCTCTCTCTCTCTCTCTCTCTCTCTCTTTTCCCCCCTTTCTCTCCTCTCCCCCTTTCCATCTCTTCCCTCCCCCTTCTCGCGCTCTCTCCCCCTTCCCCTTTTCTCTCTCCATCTTCCTCCCCTTTCTCTCTACCCTCTCCCCTCCCTTTCTCCCCTTCTCTTTCCTGTAACCCCCCCACCACCACCCTCTCTCTCTCTCTCTCTCTCTCTCCCCTCTCCTCCCCTTCTTCCCTCTCCCCTCCCCCTATCTCTCTCTCTCTCTCTCTCTCTCTCCCCTCCACCCTCATCTCGCTCCCCCCCTCTTTCCTCATCACCACAAGACGCGGCAGTGGATTCAGACACACCACAGAGCCCGGGGTCCCTACGTTTTTGGCACGGAGAGAAGCCTAGTATCCTGCTTCCTGAGGATCAGAAGATACTCGCAAATTGCTTCCGAATCATCAGGACGAAAGGGAAGAAAAGGAAATAGGGATCGAAAAAAATGGAAGAGAAAACGGAGGGAGTGTGGAAGGGGTGGGGTGGGGCGTAGGTGGGGGTGGGGGGGAGGAAATTCCCGTTCAAATTTGGCGCCATCGATGAGTCCATATCCCATTTGGTGTCACAAGCGTTCGAGTTCAAGCGGAAAAAGGACGGAAGAATTTGCCGGACGAAAGAATCAACCCCTTCTGCTTCCACCGTCCATCTCCCCGAGAGGGACCACGTTTACGATTTGCTCAGTGAAATCGTGTCTCCGCGCATTTGTTCTGAATTTTACCCCCACCTCCCCCCCTTTTCGATCGCAGGCCGTGTCCTCTGGCTCTACTGCTGCGGACCAATATAAAACAGCTTATCAACGGTCTACGTTACCCGGTCCCTTTAGCATTCTTAAAGACCGCAATTATATCGCCCCTCTCTTCCCCCGCGTGGACGCGCCCAATTTAACCAATCGCTCCTCAAAGTCCACAGACAGTCGTGGACTGAGCGATCAAATTCTTTTTTGGGGGGCGGCAGAGATTATTACCCCCAAAACTCCATCCGCCGATCGACTAACAACCGGGTTCCTACTTACTGTCGGGTAAACCGAGGCGCGTGGAGTGAGGAAAGTTGCCTGAGGTTTCGGGGATCGGAAATAAACAGGATATCAACCGTCGATACAAGACAGTACAAACACGATACGAATTTACATTGAGAGGGGAAAGGAGGTTCATTGTGTACGGAAAGCAGGTATCCCATCTCCGGCTGTTATGGTATCTCGGTTCTGAGTGGGTGTCGATAAGTAATTTTTCCACTTCTAAAGCTATTTCATAGCTAATGTATAATCCAATCTTTATAATATTGGTTGTTTTTTTTTTGTAAATGGCGCTGACGCAAGCTGAAAGCGGATTACACACTAATTTTTAATCAACAAAACTTTTTCTCGGGAGAGGAATTCCACCCGGGCTTCAGAGAATTGTCCCGCAGACCTAATTTCCGAAGGGCGTCGCGGAAACGTTTGAAATTCGGTCTTAAATTAAGAATTCGATTTAGGAACGTTCCGCAATTTAAAATAAATTAATAATCTTCAATGCTCCTTTACGTTCGGTACAACGGCCTTTCACGCGAGGGGGAGGGAGTCCCAAAAGCACCTCACCTGATACGCTGTACAGCGTAGTGACTGGATGTTCTGTGGGGCCAACCCCTGGAAAATTTTGAATTTTAATTGAGATGAGGTGACATATTTGGACATTGTTTGGACTCCAGATTTAGGGTTATTTTTCAGCGTTTCATAAAGACCAAACTATTCGGAGAAACTCAGCCCTTCATCTTGAAGCCAGTTCCGAACCGAACGCAAGAGGAGAACGGTATCAGAATTAAGACTGGATTCAAGAAATAATAATAATAATAATAATAACCGTCACGTCATTCAGACGTCTCAAAGCGCTTCACAGAACCCACTGTAAAGTGTAGTGACTGTTTATTCTATGGGCGAAATGTCAATGTCAATAGTTCGCTCTCTGAGACATTGAGAGAAATAAAATAAGACAAAATTCAGACTTGGGTGGAATTTCTCCTGTTCCTTCCCCCTCCTGTTCCCCAAACCTCCCCCCCCCCCCTCCCGGGTTCCCAGAATGTTTCTGAGTTGCCGTAATGCTGACTTCAAAATGTAGCCTTATATATTTATAAAAGTGCTTTGTAAATTCTTGTCATGTGTTCGGAATAAATACCTTCTTACGCAAAGGTTCACAAGATAGTTTTGCCTCGTTTTTGTTTTGAGGGCTTTAACGTCTTGCGATGCGATAAAATTATAGGGTTCTATTCAAAAAGTGGTGATTTTATCTAAAAAAACATCATCATTTCTTTAAGACTTGTCGGTCATTGTAATGGTGTGTGTGTGGTGTAAGGAAACTCGCCTAAGGTTTCGCCCTGACTGACCCGCCCGGGAATCGAACCCGGGTCCCCTCGCTCGCGAGGCGAGCCCTCTCGCTCACCGCTACTCCCACTGAACCCCACACGAATCCACATATGTCATCGGTATAATAAATCCACACAGTGCAAGCAGCGCGAGGCAGACAAGATAGCAGGCAAATAAGTACGTTGCGTTTCGAAGCGAAATTGGAAAGAACATGAGTGAAAAGGTACATCGTCGTGAACAAGAAGTGTGCGTCAATAATGCGCTACACAAAGATAATATTGTTGTTTGTCTGTTGCCGCTGTTGTTAATATTAATGATGTACCGAGGCCCTAATGCAAAACAAATTGAGGTGGGCGTATTGAGAATTGAGGAGGGGGCGGATTGATTAATCAATAGAAGTTTTGGGGATGTTTGAGACGGGCTATTAATGGGCAACATTAGCATTTATGAAATAGGCATCGTGAGATATCAAAAGCAGGAAGCAGCGAGATAGCTCCCAAAAAAACAGCTTGATATCATTAACGGGCAGGAGGTTCCCCTCGGGGGATTCGGACTGCAACACGAGAGAGTTGGAAGGGAAAAGTACGTGGACAAATGGAGGTTAGGGTCGAAGTGGGGGTGGGGGGGTGGGGGTGGAATAAAGCGAGCGAAGGTAACGCCCACGTTGGCCCTACGAAATGCACAGTCACTACGCTTGCGTGGGCATGGAAGCAGGAGGAGGCCATTCAGTCCCTCGAGCCTGTGCCGCCATTTTATAAGATCAAGTCCAACCACAGCCCCCACCCCCCCCCCCCCTTCGCCCCATAGATCTCAATACCCCTTGGCCTAAGAAATATTTATCTCCCGCCATCACTTGACAGTAAATCCAGTGGAACTCATTCGAGACGCTTTGACTAATAATAATAACCCTCGCGTTTGATACGGCGCCTTATCACGTGTTCGAGACGCCTCAAAGCGCTCGGCGGGATATATTGTCAAGCGGATTGACTGTGTATTTCGCGGGCGTAACGCGGCAGACCAATTGCGCAGCTCGGCAGCGTCCCCCGCAAACAGCCGTGGGTTTAATTGGACCAAATCGCCATTAACCGATGGTAATAATGCGTCGACAACTCTACGAGACGAGGCCCGACATCGAACAGAAGGAGCCATTATTAGTGTCGACCTCAATCACATCCGCTGCACGATTAAGTGAAGCCCAATGGAAGGCTATGACAAACCGGGACCAATTACCAGGAAAGGTGACAGGTCACTCCGCCGGGACTTGTTTGAGATGCCCTAATGAGCGGAGGGTAACGTGGGTGTTGTGCGAGGGTGAGATCAGATGGACCAGAAGACCTTCTTCATCCCAACGCAATCTTCTGAAGACTTCCTTCTGGTCATCTGGGGTGGTGGGGGGGGTGGGGGGGGGGTAAGATGTGAAATAATGGGGTCGACGGAAACGGGTTAACGGTGGGAATCCAACGGAGGAGAAACTTTGCAGGACGCTCTGAGACGTTCTCCCGACGCCCAAAATGCAGACCGCCGTTGGTTTGGTTTTTTTTTTGTTGCGTTCGGCCAGCAAAAAACGCACAGTCACTACACCAGGCATCACGGTAAAATCCTGCGCAGCTCTTTGAGACGTCCCCCCGCCGTCGAATCAAGGCAGGCGCTGCGTCGATCGCAAAAGGTCATTATCGTTGTGGGGATGGTATGAAATGCAAGGATGATTATTATAATAATTATTATTATTATTATTATTATTCTTATCATTATTGGTATTACAGGAGATGTACCGAATGTAAGGCTTATTATTTATTACTGGATTGTCTGTCTCACGTGCCTTGTTTTTAAAGAAAAAAATCATTTCGCCAAGAGCCTGTGTGCATTAATAATAATAATAATAATAATAATAATAAGTCATCGTCGCATTCGACACAGCGCCTTTTCACATTATTAAGCGAAGTTCTTAAGTGCACCTTCTAATGTCCGAAGCCCACGGTCCAGCGTAACCGAGGCTGGATTTCTCCGGCGCTAATTGGGTGGGTATAACGAGGGAGTTCGCTGATGGATGTTGTTTCTCCCGACCCACGGACACCAGACTGAGCCAAACGGACCCCCTCACCCCCACCCCCAGACCAGAAGGTGGGCGAGGGAGGGTAGGGGGAGCTCTCTCTCTCTCTCTCTCTCTCTCTCTCTCTCCTCTCCTCTCCGTGTCCTCGCCATCGCTGGGCAAACTGGCCGGGCGTCCACCGACAAAACGCACGGCCGCTACTCTTGACCGTCACCGCCAAAGCGCTTCGCGGGATTCAAGGGCGGAAGTCTCAAAGCGCTCACAGGGCGCGCCCCCCCACCCCCCCCCCCCCCACCCCACCACTGCAAAGTACAGTGACTGTGGCCAAAATATTGTTATTCTTGATTCAGATGTTAACGGGATTTGTGAGGTCGGGAGTAAGGACGTTTCTCCATCCCGGAGTCCTGTCCGACAATCCCTCCCTCGAACCCCACCCCCCGCCGCACCCCAAATAAAATCAGTCACAAAAACAGTCACTGCACCACACGGTACGATCCTGCGAAACACTTTGAGACGCCGAGGCTCTGGGTCAGAA